CCATGCCTTGGCAGGGTTCATCCACTTCCCTAAGGTGGTGGTGTCTCTACCGTTCATTGGTTGTCAGTCCCGGAAACCCTCGGAAACTGCCCTCACCTCCTCCTCCCTTCCTGGCAGCTCTCTAACCCCTCGCTGTGGTCCCTTGACCTGGAACCTCTGCGGTGTGTCCCCTTCTCCTAGGGTCTCAAAACCTTGGCCCTAACATCACCACCCCAGGCTACTGTCAGCTCAGTGAGCTTCCACAGCCTGAACTGGCCTCCCTGGCTTAGCCATACTCTCTGAATGACCTGGTTCTGCATCCAGACTGGAAGATAGATAGATAGATAGATAGATAGATAGATAGATAGATAGATATATAGATATATAGATATATAGATATATAGATATATAGATAGATAGATAGATAGATGAGAGATAGAGAAATAGAGAAATAGAGATAGATAGATGATAGATAGATAGATAGATAGATAGATAGATAGATAGATAGATAGATAGATAATAGAAAGAAAGAGAGAGATGATAAATAGATATGATAGAGAGATAGAGATATGATAGATGATAGATAGATAGATAGATAGATAGATAGATGATAGATAGATAGAGAGATATAGATAAAGACATATTTCTGATCAATTTTGCCTGTAAAACCTGGCTCTCTTTGCCTACCATGTACCTAATAACTTCTCCAGCTAGCAAAGTCTCCATCCATCAGAATTCAGACATCACCTCCCTCAGGGAATCTTCCTTGATCGGCCCGGGCTGCCCCAGGGCTCCCTTGCACGCTGTTCTAGAACCTTATTATTATAGCTGACCTGTTTCACAGTGCTGTAAGAATTAAGGTGGGCTGCTGCAAGCCCTCATCAATCTGCTTTTCAGGCGCCCTGTCCTACGGGTGGGAGGGCGTGGGAGGACCGTCTTGTGACCCACGCCCACCCTGCAGCGTCTCACCTGGGTTTGGGGCGCTCTTCTTCTGGTGGCAATGGAGGAATACAAAAAGAGAATTAATTAGCAAGAGTCGAGTGCAGAGCTTGGCACCCCTAAGAGGGAACCCAAGGAAGACCTGAGAGTCCAGTCCCCGGGCAAGGCCATTAAGAGAGCGAAGGGGGGTCAAAGGGGCCAATACAGAGGAAGAGGGTCACTCGCATCAGATATACATTCTGCACTGGTGTGGGGGTGCCCCACCCCAACTTCTGGAAACCCAAGAGACCAAACCCCTGACTGAATCCTGTCTTCCCCATCCTACCCAGCAACAGAGCAGACCCCATCTCTTCCCTTCATTCAGGGACCCCAGATCTCTGTGCCCAGTCCCCTGTTCCTTTGGGACACAGACCCCCCCCTCCGCCCCCATACTCTTACAAGTACTCTAAAGTTTAGGTTCCTCTGAGCTCATGCCTGTAACCTTAGCACTTGGGAGACTGAGGCAGGAGGACTGCTATGAGTGCAAGGCCAACCTAGGATATATATGCGGTTTCAGGCCAGCTTAAGCTACAGATTGAGACTGTGTCTCAAAAAAAAAAAAAAACCTAAATAAATAAACAAACTGAGCGTGGTGGTGCACAACTGTAAAATCCCAGCACTCTAGAGGCTGGAGCAGGAAGTTTGCTGCAAGTTCAAATCCAGCCTGGGCTAAGTGAGACCCTGTCTCAAAAACAAAACAAACAAAAAATAACATAAGATAAAAATAAGTTCAGGCCCCAACCTTCGAATGTATATGTGGAGAGATATAACATATAGGTCGGGGGGCCAAAAGGTGAGGAGGTGGGGCACCTCTCCGACAACACCAGACTTTTCTAGTAAGCCTTATTCCAAGACTGGAATGAAGGCTTGTACAACAGCCCCTTTAAGGAAGGGAAAAGACGCAGGGCAATTTCCCTTCACGGCCACCAGAGGGCGCAGGGCCCTGGGGGCTTAAAGGGTGATGGGCTGGGCAGGTTATCCAGGAGCCGATGGGGTGATGGTGGATGGCGGACCTGATGATATCGGGGTCCCCAGACACCCCGAATCAATCCCAGGAAGCGAAGAAGCTATGGTTACCTCGCTCTGCCACCGGCTCCGGCTCCTCGGGGGCTGGGAGGGGCAGGAGGAGAAGCGGGGGGCATTGGGAGGGGGCAGCCACACAGTAGCATAGAGGGATGGGGAGAGAAGCGAGATGCTGTTAAAGAATGGACCCAGGATCCTCCAACCCAACACATTGTTCCTTCCCTCACCCCCACCCCCACCCCCACCCCCAAGGCCTCCTAGGACCTGTGGGATTCAGGCCTCACCTTCCTCCTCCACCGCCTCCTCATCTGGAAGGAGTGTGGGGACACACAAAGAAGACGTTACATCCGGGATAAGGAGCAGCAAGTGTGTACCAGAGACCTATGGGGTAGCCCCAGCCCTCCTCCCTCAGACCTGGGAGTCCAGGCCCCAGCCTCCTCCCTCAGCGCTGGGGTCTAAGCCCAAGTCCTGGAGAGTGGGCTAAACAGGATGGCATCCGTGCCCCAGCTGTCAATGCAACAGGGAGCATGCCCACCTGTCGCCGAGGTTTCCTGGGAACAGCTTCAGAACATCCCACCCCCTCCCCTACGCCAAAATGGTGCTGGACCCACCGCAGGCTTCTTCCTGCTTCCTCCACCCCCTAGGCCACCCTCTCCTTACTTACCTTCTGCCTGCTCCCTAGAGACGTGGACAAGAGAGAGGAGAGAGAGGGGGGTCAGTTAGGCATCTTGGGCTGGAATGCTCTCTCCACATGGCAAGCCCCCCCCCCCAACCCTGCCAGACGTCATCACTCACTCCTCGTAATCTTGTTCTTCCGTGTCCGACATTGTGGCGTGACCTGCAGACCAGAGGAGGGAGGCTGAGTCGGGTAGGTCCCCGGGGAAGAGGGCCGGTGCCTAGACTCCTGGGTCTGGACCTCTGGGTCAGGGCAGGGAAGGCTAGCATCCAGCATCCCAATTCATGGAGGCCAGGCCCCAGCCCCGTGCCAAGCCTGCCTCCCCTGCCCCCCTCGCCCGCCCCAGCTGTCTTCTTTTGTCCTGTGACAGGTTCACGAGAACCTGATCCCTGGAGGGATTAGGAGATATTGGAAAAGGGACAGGATTTGAAGACAATGGCTGCCCCACCCCTGGTGCTATTTCGGGGGAATGTCACAGACAGAGAAACAGAGGACATTTCCCAATAAGGAAGTGGAGAAGCGGGGCTCCCCCACCCCGCCCCTCTCCTGCCACAGCCCCCTCGTTTGCCCAGCATTCTTCCCATTGTGTATCTCTTTTCCCTTCCACGTGCATTCTGTTCAGGGAAGAAGGCTCCATCCTGATCCCCTAAAAACTAAAAACTTTAACTCCCCCCCCCACTCTGCTTCTACGCCTGAAAGTCCCCAGGTTGAGACCTTCAGGGCTCAGTTCCCACAGCTTCTGAGATCCAAGTCCTATGCCCTTGTTCTGTGAGACCAAGAAATCTCGGTGTCTCTAGATTATCAGGTGCCCAATTCATACTAGTACATGTATGGGCACTTACATTCTAAGACTCCCAAAACTTGGGGGTGTGGGGGAGTTGGAGGGGGGTAGAGAGAGGGTCTCACATAACACAAGCTAGCCTTGAACTCACTATGTAGCCAAGGATGACCTTGAACTCCTGATTTCTTCTGCCTCAGAGAGTGCCAGATCACAGCCTGCACTTGGCTGATCCCCAGGTATGAGACCTCAGGGTATAAGATCCTCAAATAAAACCAGACACCCAAACCCAGAGGTCCCATTTACAGCACCCCGAATTATGATGCTGCCATTCCTAATAGATCTGTTTATTTTTTTTTTTTTTTCTTTTTTCCATAGCAGGGTCACTCTGTTTCTCAGGCTGGCCCTGAACTCAAAATCCTCCTGCCTCAATCTCTTGAGCATTGGGACTTCTGGCCTGTACCACTGAGACCTCAAGCCCAAGTCCTTCCTCAGTTCCTCATACCTCGAGATTTCCCAAACCTTAATACACAACCTTCAAGCACAGATCCTGTGGTTCCTCAGCCTCTGAGACCTCCACAATTTTTTGAGATGGTATTATTTTGTAACCCTGAACTCTCTTTGTAAACCAGCCTAGACTCAAACTCATAGAGATCCACGTGCCTCTGCGTTCCAAATGCCTCCTCCACCATGTTAAGAAGAGCACCCCCAGAATCTGTAACCCACAAATCCTACCCCTCCACCCCAGCCAATCCAAGTCCTCCCAAAGGCTCAGGCTTAGCTGGGTTGCTGCTGCCTCTAATCTCCACGCTCAGGAAGCAGAAGGGTTGTTGCGCACTCAAGGCCAGCCTACGCTGCAGAATGAGACTGTCTCAAAGAAGGAGAAGGGGAGGAGGAAGAGGAAGAGAAAGAGGAGGAGGAAGGGAGGAGGAACAGGAGGAAGAGGAGAAGATCCTGCCCTCGTTTTCACACCTGGCTCCCACGCCTGTCTGCTCACTCCCCCAAAGACATCAGTGTGAAGAACTTAGAGCCGGGTTACCTAAGGCTGGGTCCACTGATGCTGTAGAGGGCGGCTGACGCTTCTGAGGACCAGGACGCACCCCCTGGGTTTATAGCTGGATGCTCAGCCCCGCCCCAGGTTGGAGGAGGGGGCGAGGACTCCTCTGTTCAGACACCACCCCCCATGCTGAGAGCCTGCCCTGCTCCCTCTGTCTCCCGGTCGGGGGTCCAACACCTGCCGTCTGCTTCATGATCCCTGTCGGGAGTCCATCGACAAGGCTCTAGAATCCAGGCTAGGTCAGGCACCCCACAAGCTCTCTTAGAGCCCCTAACACAATATCCTGTGCTTTGGAGTCCCCAAGACTGGGAACAGTACAGGAAAAGGGGGTTTAATGGCAAGGGGGGGGGTCTAAGCGAGGTTCCTGCTTTTTTTTTTTTTTTTTTTTT